CCTACCCTTCAGGTAGGGATTGGATTAAAACCCAAATTTACCGAGGAGAGTGAATGCATGCAGGAAACATAGCAGTGCATCTTATGGTAAGGAAATCTGAGATGTTTATCTGTGCAATATTGAGAAATGTTTGTTTCCATCAGCAGTGGAGTCTTATGGATGGGTTGGCCTCTCTGTTAGAGAACTCTGCCTAATACAAGGTAGAAGAATCTTGCTGCAAGCAGCAGGAAATACAAGATGCTTAATCTTCCAGGACTTGGATATGTGTGTTACTTTTCTCAGTGTGACCAGCACCACTCACTGCTGAGATGCTGTTTGCTCTGTATTAAGTTAAATGTGTAAAAATTGCGGGTTTTTTTCCACCTTATACACAGCAATACCTATAAAGATAAAATGGATAAACAGGAAAAGACAAGTCAAAAATGGAAACTACCACTGACATTCATGCTTCCAAAAATCCAACTTAAATATAAGCAGTTCAGGTAGATTTATGCAGCTCAGCAGTTTGGTCTTTGATACGAAGCTTTCTGGAGTGCAGTAAGCAAATGACGGCCTCTCTGAAGTGCAGTCAACGCGTGGTCTCAGGATTTCAAAGTGTTCCTCCTTGCCTTGGTTTATCTTTTATGTCGAGGCATGACAAGCAACATCTTACAAAATAGAAAGGTATCAGACAGTATTGACTTTATGAAGTTGCAGCGGCCTAGAAAGTGCTGTTTCTCTTTGAAAAAATGATTTGTTTTTCCCATACAAATAAGCAGAATTTCACTCTAAGACTGTTCCTAGTTATTTATATGTAATTTTTAAAAAGGTGGGATCTTGGCTTCCTTACTGAAAGGCTATGGAAGTTTTCTGAGATGAGAGAAATAAACCCTTCATTTAGGACTACCATGGATCCTAAATCTTCTGTATATTCATTGTTTGTTTTTCTGTTGTAATTTCTAAGTAGGGATCTGCTTCTTCTTTCATTCATGACATGGAGACTGACTTGCTGATTTGAAAAAGCAGAGAAAACTCTGCTTTTCTCCATTTTTTTCAAAATTTCTCTAGCAATATTGGTGTTTTATTTTGTTTTTTTTTTTGAAGTAAGGAATAATGAACAAGTGACTGAAATAGGAATCGATTATTACAGTGAAAATTGAACTTTCTTGTTTCAACCATGGATGAAAATGAAAGTGCCAAAACTTCGTAAGAAGGATTTCTAATCAAAATGGAGCAGACTAAGAGTTTCAGAAAGCATCACTGTGTGTCTCAGATCTGGAGGCTCAGTAGCATATGATAGTTAAAAACAAAGAAACAAACAAAAAACGCTTTAAGACTGCCCCAGTTTTGATATTATTGACATTCATCATGGGGAATTACGGGAAGTTAGAGCCAGCTCATCATGCAGATTTCCCTAGTGTGCAGAAAATGTGCAACTCACACATCTTTGAATAGGAAGTTAAAAAACATAACTAAATAAGAACATTACGAACTGTGGTGGTCATGACATCTCACAAAAATGAACGCACGTTAGCTTCAATTCTTTGTTCTTAGAACTCTATATCTAGAGAGAATCTGTTTTTCACGTTGCTTTCAGTTGCACATAGGGAACCTGTAAAAGAAAATCCAATAAAAACATGAGAGCCATTTAGGTTTGTGTAATTGAAAAATCTAAATCTGGGAACCTAAGGTCTTGCTGTAATGATGTTAAAAATCTCTCAGCTCTTTTAAGCCATTTTCTGCCCTTGTGGGGGGGGGGCAGGGAAATCATGACACGATTCAAGTTTTAAAATTGTTAGTATTCCAAATATAGTTTTATACCTCTTCTGTGTAACTTCAGTATTTCTTCCTAATATTGGACTCATCTAGTTGCACACATCTTGGTCAGTGTGCAGTAGGAGCAGATCAAATGATCCTGTGCAGCTTCTTTTGAGAGTAAAGGGCTTTCAAAGCTGCCGCCTCTGAGCACTGACACGCTCTGCCTCAGACTCTGAACCGAATTTTACTGTTTCAGACACTTTCTTTTTGCTGTTTTAGATGCACAAAGATATAAGGGCAACTGTGCTTGACGTCAGCTGGGCTATCTCTTAGTTATTATAGCTCTCATATATATTGTTAAGGGGTCACCTATTGTCATTTTTTGTCAACTTGAGATCAGTTACTCTGATAGTTTGTGTTACGAAGTATAATCTAAATAAAACTCTTCAGTAACTCTCTTGATTATTTTAGCCACTGAATGAGTAAATGCTTTTAATCACATCCAGTTCTAGAGTAAATTAGGAAGGATGTGCTGTCTGCAATTTTACTTACGGCACTTATGGCAGTTTTGCTGTTAAAAAACCCCACATATATTCTCATTACCTCTTCAATTAAAGTAAATTACTAAATACCTATGTCTAATGTCTTAATTTCTTTGTAGATCTAATATCTTCCTAATCATTTGCAACTCTGATTTCATATAATGCATGCAATACATACAATGCATGCAATACAATATAATAAGGCAATGGCCTTTTACATTAAAGGAAGTACATGAAGTACAACTGAACAGTATATCTTAAATGATGCATTTAGTATTTTTTTCTGCCATAGTAAAAAAGCAAAGAATGATAATATAATTAGTAACTATTAAAAATAATCTCCACCAAGGTGTGAAGAATAATGCTGTGAATGGCATATTTTCAACAATTTTATTTTACCTTTGCAACTTCTACAGAAAACAATGCTCATTGTAGACTTCTAAAATGTTGATTATTTTGGCAATTCATTATTCTGTCCTATTATAAAGATTCTAAAAGTAAGTGCATTCCTAGCATATAACATTATAGGTAAAGTCTATTTTGATTTCTAAGTAAGTTTGCCACCCCTTTAGTAAGGGAGAATATGTAAATATCTTGGTTTGTCAGTAATTCCTCCATTGCATTTCCAATGTGGTCATTTCAGTGGCGAGACCATCTTCATTTAACAGGAGGCTGAGCTGTGTGCATGTGCATGCTTGTAAGGATGGGAGAATTTGGGTGCCTGTTCAGTGTGAATCTAGGGCTTTGCTGGTTTGCTGGATGGCGACAAAAATGTCCTTGGAATTCAGGATTTGTGCAAAGATCTCACAAGGGTATTGTTTTTATATAACCCAACTCTCTCATGACTTATCCCAGAGTGCTTACCAAATAAAAGGAGGAGGATCCTTGTTCATCCTTGAACCAGTCGAGGTTATCCATTGCACCAAGTAATCAGCTTCCCCAAAGGAAGCAGCTTGATGCCCCAGGAGGTTGCAGGAAGCCTCCGTCGATGCCCACGGGGCTTCTGGCCAAGGCCGGGGTTCACCCTCCCCTTCACACTGAGCCCCAATCCCTTCACGTGCTCCCCATCTGCTGAACACGTGCAGTCATTCTCAGACATGTTCCTTCTTCGTCCTTCTGTCTTTGCCTGCTGAGACAGCTTGGATAATATCTGCTCACAATTTGGAAAAGTGGCAAGGCAAATGTGAAGCTGAGGTAGAGAATTAGGTCCAGAAACCGTTGGGATAATATATGTTGCTCCTCTTTGCCTTATTATTGATTGCATTAGTTTCTAAAAAGTGAGAAACAGGGCTCAAAGTCTGTGTTGCAATCTGCCTTGCAACTGCCTTGCATTTGATGCCATGTGACAATTGTCATCCATCTCTTCTCAGATGAGACAAGAAAATGAAAGAATTAATTTTACTTTTGTGTGTGTGTTTTTTTAATTAATGAAGTTTTTTTTCAAACTCTTAAGTGGTTTGGTAGGTGAATGCTTTCCAAAAACCCATTTGCAACTGTCGAAACATGAGTATGCTGATGGCCAGTATCTGGCATCTGTAGCATGAATGTACTAAAAGAAGAAACATATGTGATTAAGGTCTAATTGTAGCCCTGCTGTAGTTATAAATGTGCATAACAAAATCTGCTGTTTACTACATCTATAAAGAGTGTATGAAATACGTGAGGTGTTTCAGCCCCATTACAGTTTCAGCCCTTTTTGAGCATTGCTCAAGGTCATGTCATTGATGGTTGTAGCCAGTTTTGTAATTCATGTTAATTTGTGAATGTTGCCGTTATTGGCCCTTACTTTTGCTGGACCCACACCGGGGCCTCTTCAATAGTGAGAGATTTCTTTGAGAAGTTCTTGCTTTCCAAATGTAAATCATGGTAAATACATTGTAGTGGTATGCTTCATTGTTACACAATCATCATTATAAGAACCCTCTTAGAATTGTTACAATCCTGTGCAGTGCCTAGCTTCAAATTTCCTCTAAGTACTTTTATGTCAGTAAAATAAGAAATTGCATTAATGCTTTACTGGTACTTTTATTGTGTTTATTAAGGGCTGTTCAACACAGTGCAGTTATTAAGACTGTTGATAACAGTATTGCTATGGAGTTCATTTCTAGTCCCATAAAGAGCAATGACATTTCTGTGAGGCTCCTGCCAATGTACTTGAGGCAACTCGCACACCTGCTCTTCTTCCCAATCCCTTAGGGAAAACGCTTTTCTGGCTGTGCACACTACTGAAACATAGAAGAGTAGAGGACTTGCTATTATTTCCCCCTTTTTAATCTCTTATCTCTTTAATGTGAAATGCTATTGAAAAGGCACACAGAATCCAAAGATTGTTATTGATTTGTGCCAACCGACTCTGACAAAGGATTTCATGGCAAGCTGGTCAACCCTTGAACAATTATAATTTGGCATAAAGTAATAAACTCTAATTAAGGCGTTATGAAGACATTGATTCGTTAGCAGGGCAGCCTATTAAATCATTATAATTATATTACGAAATGATTAAGGCAACAATGTTAATGCATTTGAAGCCTGTCCTAAAGTTGCTTGGTTGTTAAATGTGCAAGCCTATTTCTCTTGTCTGCAATGACTTTTGTTGTTATTATTTTTGGTGCCCTAACCCTCGCGGCTGGGCTGCCCCCCAGCAGTCAGCACCTTTTGCACTGTGCTCCCTTGCAAGTGAGGGCCCCAGGGCTGAAACCTCTTCTCTGTTCCCCGTGGCAGGCGCGGGAGGCTGGTCTCCCTCCGACAGCGACCACTACCAGTGGCTCCAGGTGGACTTTGGGAGCAGGAAGCAGCTCAGCGCCGTGGCCACGCAGGGCAGGTACAGCAGTTCGGACTGGGTCAGCCAGTATCGGATGCTCTACAGCGATACGGGCAGGAACTGGAAGCCCTACCACCAGGACGGAAACATTTGGGTGAGTCGCCGGTGCGATGTGGAGCAAGCGGGTGCAGGGATGAGCTGTGTCTCTCAGTGGATGGAGCGTGTGTGTAGAAATCACACGTCTCTCAGAGCTTCTCAGAACTGTGTTTGTGAGGAAGGGCCAGAGCACAACTCTTGATGCAGCAGCTCCAGTTGCAGCTGCTGCCAGGAGGCCTGTGCTCGGCTCAGCCAAGCCCGACTGGGCAGATGGCTGGTGTCAGAACTTGCACAATGACATTATTTCTTGGCTGCTGCTGTCACACAAGGAGTTCTCTCCTTCACTGCTTTTCCTTAATTCACCTTTTCCCTTTGCTGATTGCATGGAGTAAATGTGAGGTAGGTAGAAAGTTTTGAAAATGTTTTGTTTTAAATATAGTATTTCCAAAAGGTGTTTATCTCAGTGTGACTGCTGGGGAAAAGTCTTACAACATATGCATTGCTTTATGTTTTGATGCCACAGGGATTTTAGCTATGATAATTTTAGAGAAAATGATATCTTCTTTTTTTTTCATGCTTTCCATGAGCAAGCTGCTGATTTCATAGATTTCATCAAAAACTGCTTGTTGATTATGTTGACAATCACTATTTTTATTCATCGTTAGAATGGTAGATGTTACTTAACCTCCTTATCCTCATTGTAAGTAATGGAAAAAAATATATATTGTTTTTCCTCAAACCATAGTATATTGATGGCTATTATGCCTCATTGGAAAAGTACAGAAAAAAAAACAGACAAGAAGACATAGCATCATGCTTCTAGATTCACATTTTTGTCAGACACGTTTTATTGATGTGTTTTAAAAACTATTAAAATGAACTTCAAATGTAGAGCATAAGGTGAATGATTTTATCTACATAACAGAAATTCAATGTGTGGAGTATTATAGCAATCATTTTGTATTAGATTATTGATTTATAGGGAAGGCCTCATCCACATGCTAGGTAGGTTTCTGAAAGAGGAAGGAAACAAAGAAGGGAAAAGGAATGAGGAGAAAAACCTGTGGAACAAACTCAAGTTTAAGCTGTGAGAATATAAAATGTTTCCCATTCCCATTCCCACTTAATGTGTATAAAAAATATTTATAGCCCTCAGTGTTTGCGTCGTCTTAGATATAGAAAGGCTTTTTCAAAAACTGCAGTTGATATCCTGAGGAATATATCTCAGGGGACTCGGAAAGAGGGCTGTGCAGCTGGTCCAGTGAACACTGTGAGCAGTGTATAAAGCACAAGGTGGCAGAGGAAAAAAAATCTGTTCTTAATACCTTGACAGGAAAATCTTGATGCGAAACATGGTTTAGTTGATGTACTGACAGTTGGGATTGCTTCCAAAGTGGCTCACATTTCTGAGCTTTTTGTAGAAGTCTTCATTCCCACATTGTCTTTTATTATCAAAGTATAAAACTTTTCTTTCAGAAAAAAAATTCTGAAAGAATATTCTTAATAAAGACAGAAACGAATTATTTGGTTAATTTAGGGGGAGAAGCGGTTCTCACTGGCCTTTGATATCGTTTGCAAAAATGTGTGGCTAGTTACTAGGTAGGGACTTGATGCTGCTACTGACTTCCATAAAACAGCCTTGTTTTGGTTGTCAAATGATGCTTTAAACCGTGTTTAATCTTGACAGCATTATGCTTGTTAATAAGTTTCAAATTAAACATATATAAAAACAGTGGAAAATATGAACAAGCCTCAGTTTGCCAGTGTTCAGCAGCTAATTTAGCTGCTTCTCTGCTTGTGATTAAGATGGCAACTGTCAGGTTATACTGGGACAGGCCACCTCTGCAGTTGCTTTAACCCCATGGTGTAATTCGTCCTCCTGAGCTCCCGAGGTCAGGGGAGAGGGGCTGAGCATGCACCAATATTGCTGTGCAACTGTGGGAGCATTAGGAAGAGAGTGAGTTTGCAGGCAGTGAAATGGGACCATGCAGAGTTTCCTATCATCTCTCTTTTCTTTATGCTGTCCCTCTGTGCAAGGAATAAAACATTTTTGAAATTGTCAGGGCCAGGTCAGACTACAGGAATTGAGTTTCGCTAGATACAATATTGGAAATTCAAACTTAGACTATCAATTTCTTCATTGCTGGGGCCATTGGGATGCCCCCAGGAATATTTGTGAGAAGTGTTTGGAGTTTCCCTTTGGAAATCCGTTAGAATTGTAATAGAATTATCTAGAACAGTAGAATTATCTATTAGAAATGGTAATCCCCAAGAGAAAGGCAGTGTATGGCCTCTGATTAACATGCCTCCCCGTGCCTGAGTGTCATTGTTTCCTGACAACAATAAATTCAAAATTAAAGGAGAAAGTGAAGAAAAAGAGGAAAATGGAAGTGCAGCGGAGTTCAGCAATATTTAACACCAAAGCAGTCGTGATATCAAATGGCACGGCCAGAGGACAAAACAGGGGAAAATGAAGGAAATACAAACAAAGCTCGCTAGATGAGTTAGCGTTAGCAAAGCAGAAATAATTTCCGACCAGTATCTGGGTAGGAACAAAGCATGATAATGTGCATAAAATGTTGAATGCCCTCCTTTTGTATGCATTAGTCAGGGAGGAGAAGTTGTTCTATAATTATCTCCTAAGCAGGAGAGAAATCAAAAGGCTCTCAGGTAGGCTGAGATGGGGAAAGTGCTTTGAAGGTGAATTTAGAGGAAGTTTCTCTTTTCTGTGAAATAGATTTTCTGACCCCACCCCTTCTGGGCTTTTGGATATTTTCAATTTCCATGAATTTTAATAAGATGAGTGGATGTGCCCCCTTCCCATGCAATGCCTAGCAACTAGAGAATTTCGATCCTGTTTCCTAGCTTCACTCCTGGAGTCTGAGAGTTTAATTTTGGTAGGTCGGGAGGTTTCCCTACACATGTCAATCCGCTGGGGTGGTTCATGACCATAATGTATCTGTATCAGTGGATCATTTTTTAGTGTCTGTACCAACACCAGCTGGCCCAAATAGCACATATCTGATGGGATTCTACACGGAATACTGTTGTTCTCTCCTAACTGACATAGAGATGTGCTAATTGCTTCACACGGTGCGAATATGCTCTCCAGGTGCAATGAGAAAATGCTCAGGAATTACGAGAACAGGGAGCTTGAAACACAAGCACAGGTGCCGGAGCTGAGCATCTCCAAGACTGAAACCCTTCCTGCAGGAACTAAGAGGAGCCTTAATGCAGTTGAAGAGGTCTTGTGATGTATCCTCCTTTGAAATTGGATTGTGCTGATAGAAGTCATGGTCTCTTCTCACCTGCCTCATTTGCTTATTCCTGGAGGATGTCAAAGTCAGGGGGTGAAGAAGAGATGGCTGCTGTAGTTCGGATTTGGAATACTGATGGCAAAGGTGCAGTGCCCACACCCTGCGTGCAGCCCCTGCGCTGTGTTCTGCAGTCGAGTGCACTTTCAGCATCACCAAACATCAGTGGGGTGAATGAAGGTGTAAGGGAAAGCCGCTTGATTTGTTTAGCTTTGGACCTCATTCTTCAATTGAAAGTAATTCTGGAGATGGAGTTTTTGTGGTTTTGTTCTTGTTGTTTGCCATGTCTTTTCTCTTCTTCTTTGTGCCAGGACTGAATATCAGGGTTTTCAGATCATCATCATTGGTCTGATTCGAGGACAATCTGCTAATTCACTGATAGTTCTAGTGTTTTTAAAGACCTTTCTATCAAAGATGGGTCCAGTTTAAATGAAATGTAACATTTATCCATTATATCTGCTTTTGTAGTGTTTTTATGACTGAAAAAATATTGGGTAATTACAGAACTTTCACTGTCAAGTGATTTTTGGAAAGAAATATAAATGATCTATTTACTACTGCCTTGAATACATGCAGCAGTATGTATTCACACTTCATTTTGAAGTGAAAAAATCAGAACACCAGTAAGTTGAGTGTGAACTTGGCGTTTCTCTGGGGGCTGAGAAGGCACTTTTCCTGTTCTACAAGTGCAGTCTCTTCATTGCTGTGCTTCCCCTTGGTACTGCAAGGAGGAGGCTGGGGCCATCGTAGATGTAGCTTGCACAGGTAAAGGAGCTCTCTGCGCTTCAGTTTTGCCCTAGTGTCGTGCAAAAGGACACAAAAGGAAGGAAAGGAGCCGCAAGTGAGTGGGATGATTCATTTCTCCAGGACGCGTGAGGATTCAGGCGCTTGGTGCTCGTGGGTGCCTCTGCAAGTATCGTCCATCAGATGGACTCGGAGTGGCGTTTAAGGTCTAGCTGGACACAGGGCAGATGCTTTGCAGCTCTGCCTAGGCCAGGTTGTGTGGCAGCCCCCTGCTTCCCTCAGCCTGCAATGCTATTTCTGCTCGGAATATTCCGAGGACAAATTATCACAGCCTCATCGCAGCCTCCCTTCCCTTCACCTCCTCTGCAGAGCTAACCAAGGACCTGCTGCGTGTGTCACGGAATACAAATGATTTGTGTGGAACAGCTAAAATTGAAAGGGAATAAAGTCTTGCCTACGCCCACTCTGTTATTAGGCTACCCAATAATTATTTGCTTTGCAAAAGCTGTCGCTGCTCTTCCCCTGAAATCTGACTTCCTCCCGCGGTGCTGCATGGGAACAACACTAATGTGAGACGCTCTGTGAGGCTTCTTGAGCTTCGTCCCTGCTGCTGCCCTCCTTTCCTCTGGATGCTCCGTAGCATCTTGAGTGGAAACTTGTGTCATAGGACAAGATCGCAAGGCTTTTCTCTTTTTGCCTGTGTAGTTAAATGGCATTATTAGACTCATTTGGATGATTATATGAGGCTGTAATGACTACTGCAATTAGGGGACCATTTTGTGAAATGTGATTGGAATGGTCTGTGCCCTGCGATTTGTTGTCGTGGGGCTGCTGCTAGATGCCAGGTACCCCACAAACCCATTTAAACCTGGCAAAAATGGTTTGATATATTAGTCAGAGCCAAAGTTTGGACTAGTGTTTATGGCAAGACCCTGAAGTCTTTTGGGAATGATGAGAATTTATTGTTTTTTTCTGCTTAAAAGCCTCCTAGACAGGGTAG